TAAATGTAGAGAAGCATAAACAAGATGTAATCACTGGCGAAACCACTTTTTTCATATATAGATGAAAATCAATGTTTTCAATTTAACAGACAATTGTGTTCATGATTCTTGCTTGGTTTGTCACAATGGCCTTAATTTGTTTTAATCCTTCATGGATATTACATAATCTAGATAATCTGGTTTCACATTTAGGTTATTAAACCAGAAACATTTTTTAAATCTCAACTGCTAACCCTTATTCAGTTTTAATGGGGAATATTAATGGTTCAATCTTCAATTTTAGATTGGTGTCAGCAGCATTAGAGAGTATGAAGAGGGTGCGAGGATGAATTATCTTTCATTCCACAAGATTGTCATCAGATATACATTCTCCACAGTCATTTACCATAGACATTGCCGTCTTAATCTCATACAAGGTTCCATTGTATAGACCTTCCTTGTTCCCTTGATTTTTTAGGACATTCAGGAGAAATGGCCCCCCCTTGTGGTGTGAAAAAATAGCGTATGTCTACTTGGATAATTGAGCTGAATTGTCTAGTCAAACTACTTTTGTCCTTTGAAATGGCATTTTTCTGTGTAAGACTGATAAAGACTACGTGATTACAATAAACACAGTACATTGCCAGACAGAACAGGATATAAAAGTACAATGATAACTGTGATAGTATGAGGCGCATTTAAACTTATATAATAACACCATTTCTGTGTTCAAAGAACTAATCTTACGTCTTCAAGTGGAGCTACTTCAGGAACTAATGATTGTGCACTAAAGTCATACCTTGAGATGGTGGACGTGCTAGTTAATCAGCCTTGATGTTTACAAAGCAGCAGAAAAGAATGAACCTAATGAACAGTAGTGTGATTTATCAATTATGCAAGCTTTAAATAATGTCATGGAAACTCTGCATAAGCTTAGCTATGCTGCACAGTTTATTTTGGATAATTATTACTACCTAGCTTATAATATCTAGTAATGCAAGAAATATAGCCATAACAGTCACACTGTTTTTCCAAGGCACTCGATACACATCCACACACTCTCTTGGCAGGTGGCTTATTCTGTGACCTGAGGTTTGAAAGTATCACAGATTTCTATCCACATTTAAGCCATTTGTTTGGCGAACTTTACCTTTTTTTCCCATTAACCCCATCAAAGTGCACAAGTAATTGGATCTTGGAGTCATCTCACATCATCCTTTGCCAAAAAAGCCACCAATAATTTGGCTGCAACAGTGGAGAGATCAGCTAAAAAATATGCTAGAAACCAAAGTTTTAAAACAAGGGCGTTTGTGCTACTTAAAAGCAGATACTCTTTGTGTAAATTACCCACTTAAATTTGTTTTGCACATCAAATAGTCTATTTTATGCTGAGGAAGCTTATTTTCTTAAACATTGAAAACATCTAAACGGTGAGAGTGAATCCTTGAGAAAATGGGATGGATAAAAAATGGCCTCAGAGATGTTCAATGGTACGACTTCCAGCTCTCAACAGAGGTCTCCTGCCCCCAAACGCCAAGAAGCTGATTCTGGCGTTCTGAGATTCTATATACATAAATGGCAGCAGATGCCGAGTTTTGCTTTGTTGAACTTGAAGCGCTCTTCAGAGGACAACAATTTATCATGCTCCTCAGAGCCCATCTCAACACGCTTGAGATCTTCACAGTAGAGATGACATTAATTTAAACTACTTATTGTAATTGAGAAAACCATTTAAACCACTTATTGTGAGTAAGAGACTCCGGGATGCAACTATATTTTGGAACATTGTGCAACGAGTCACACTCATTGCTTTTGCTAGCTGTTGTACTGTAGTATCACCTGAGGGTAATTTGGACCCTTTACAGGATTGCAGTATTTAGTACATTTACAGTTTGGAAATATCTATCAGGAACATTTAAATTATTTTTTACTTAAAGAAAATTATGTCTGTGTTGCATGTTTTGCATTGTGACATGATTTTCATGACAATTAATGACCTGAAGCAAAATAATTTTTTTAAATATAAAAAAAAAAACACCCATTTATTGCAAGAAATACAGCCTATATTGTTTTAATTGTAAGGCAGCTTACATAGTGCTAGTGTTTATAGCATTTAATAAATGCTGAATTAAACTGTATTGCATAACTTTTTTGTTTGTTTCTAGTTCTACTCATTTCCTTTGGCTTTACAATAATGACAAATTAAAAGCCTGTGCAACTTACAAAACAACATGACTTTATAATAGGCTATCACACTTACTATTTTTCATACCCAGTAAATGGGCCTGTATATACATGAAAATTCCTTTTATATTTTGAGGAAAAGGATTCAATGAAAAAGCATGGTGTCCTAACTTTCCAACAACTAAAAATATGTCCACACTGAACACCGCTGAGATAGAGCAATAGACAAAAATGTCCTCTCAATTAGCATTTCTGCGTTGTGGTCATGAAACGCTCGTAATATTTTATCCAGTTTACTTACTATTACACATTTCGGGGTTTTAACGTAATGAATTACAAATTTCCCCAATGCAGCAGTCACTATAATGTTTGTACGTAGGCCTACTCTTGCTATGTTAATTACGACGTCCAACGTAGTAGCCTACATTTGACATGGCATAAATGTTTTAAAAATGTAAATGTAAGTGTTTATAAATAAAATACAAGTTAACAGTATTAGTGAGACAATAACAGAGAGATTCCACTGTTGTAGTCCTTCATAGTAGCCTAATTCAGTTCTGAATTCAAAGTCGAGGCTGATTTATCCGAATAGCCGGCATTTTACTCTTATTCAGCCTTACTTGTAGGTAAATACACACCTATATGTTATCAAGGCATTAATCTCATGTTATTTGTAGTTATCGATATAATATGCAATGAGGAAAATATACAGTTTGAAATAATATGAATAAACACAATTTATTTAAGTGAGATGTTTGGCAGTTGCCACAGATATGCAAGTCAACTGTTTGACATTTTGTTTTCATTGTAAAATTGTTCTGTCTTTCGATAGCGAGCAGTCCGGAGGCACTTCCGGTTCGGAAAGTTCCACTCAAAAAGACCGAAACAAATCATTTCAAATCATAAGACTGATTGTGCTACAAATAGAAATCCTTATCCATCAACTTGAATGAATGAGCTCTACATTCTCCTTCATGATCTATTTAAAACAAGAATCAGTCAGCTGCACTATTTTTCTCCTGATTATTTTCATTTTTCCTTTGTATTCTGCTGTATCAGTATAAAGACAACATATACTGCGCATTTGTGGTCTGCTCTCCCGATTTATGAATAATAGCATGTAAATACAATATTTGTTATCTGTCAAAATGATGGAAATCACTTTCAAATATTATCACAATGTTAATGAAGTGTAATGAACTACAGTGATATACATGTTTAAATTTACTTTTAATGTTCGATAGTTGAAGGTAGCTGAATATAATAACACCTCAATGCACTAATTTTTTAAACATGCTTATTGTGTTCATAGAACAAACCTTTCACTTATTGTTTACAGTTTAGCGGATGTAACGCCCATAATTCTTGCAAAGCATCAGGGGGTGTAGGAAAAAGTGGCTAGGTCTATTTATTTACTTTTATTTATTTATTTTCATTTTAGGCGTGTCTAGAACATCTTTTAAAAAGTAATGTTGTTCAACCATTTTGTGCTTGCTGGGTAGTGGGAAGTCTGACTTGTTTCTGTAAATCAATTCTTTCAATCAAACAGATTGAACTTCGTTTCAATGATTCAGCGGTTCTTTTACAGTTAGGACAGTGGTTTTCAATCCTGGTCCTAAGGAGCCACATCGCACTAGACTTTAGGACACCGCGGTCGTAATTTGACGTCACACTGTGGTGCCTTTAAAAAAAAAAAAAAAAAGAATTCAGTGTATAATACTTTCCAAAATGTAACAAATCTGCAATCTACTCCACTTTACTGCAACGCTGCAATCCTCAGATTTAAAGTTTGTGCTCTTTTAATTCAGATGAGAGGTCACACCATGACGTATCAATCTTCTAATTCTCACTCATCTTCACATGTACAGTAAGGGGCCTAAAAACCAAACTGGATACATGAACCCCAGTGGGCTGTGGGTAAAGACAAAAACACATGATTTTCACCCTTCACAGTAGAGATAGCTTTCATCGCTTTATTGCATTTCACCTGGTTACGACATGGTGTGAGGTTAAAAAGCCACAAAACAACTTGCCCTTTTATGGTGCATTTACTACTTGATACTAAAATCACTAATGTCCTTGGTTAATATCGTGGAACAATGATGTTGTTGAGCCATGCAATTGTTTTCGGAGATAAAACCCCTGATTGGCTCAATAAATTTTTCTGCTGATTCAGTATGCCATGAAATGACCAAGAAGGTTTGTGAGCACCTGGATTTGCCCATACTGGACACCTAACATATAATCTAAGACGCTACAGTAGTGTACTGCCATATCAAATGAATAGCTATTTTTTTCTTTTGAAAAGAAAAATGTAACCCATTAATGATGAAAAGCCCCAATAACCTTATGAATAGAAGTATGCAGTTTAAAAAGTTTACCTAAAAGAGTGATGCAGCATTATGGGTATTTTACCATGTGACCTGGATTATGTGGTCACTTGCTTTTATAAACAGTTTATGTAATCCAGATCTGGTCAGTTAGTGCATTCACTGTTACATAAATGATTAAAGCTAAAAATGAATACTAGATCAATGGTATTAAAATAGCCCCACCTATTCCAGAACAGGATCATTGCAGGACAGTCATTCTCCTCTTTGATCACATTTTTTTTTTTTTTTTTTTTGGGCAAAAAATGGAAAATTC